TTTTCTTCTACTGCATGTATGTAAATGCCTGTTTAGGTTTAAACTTAAAATGGTAAGCAGTATTCTCTACTCACAATCACACAATGTTTTGAAGCTAAACATATTTGGTATTTATTTACACCACAAACATCTTTTTATTTTATGGAAAATATGCAGACTATATCATGTTAGTGTATTTTTCACAGACATTTTAGAGTTCACAAATATTTACTCAAATGTACTTATGCAACATAAAATTGACACTTTTTATTCTATGGGCCTTTTGCTTTTAGTAGATATACATTTTGGGGGTCTTTTGTAAATGTAAAAATGTACATTTGAGAATAAGGTTAAAAAAAAGAAGTTTATGAATGAAAAATACAAAAAACAGATTTCTTATTTGAGCGCTTAAAATTCTCAGTCTTTTCTTATTGTTCTTTCAGATACTTGGTGCTTGAACATGTGTCCGGTGGAGAACTTTTTGACTACCTGGTTAAAAAGGGGCGACTAACTCCAAAGGAGGCTCGAAAATTCTTTCGACAAATCATATCCGCTCTAGATTTCTGTCACAGCTACTCCATATGGTGAGTCAGAGTTTTTGTTTTCCTATGAGCAGTGACGTGCCTAACGTTTGCTAAAGATAGTGCACATTGAAAGGTTACTACTATTCAGTTTCATAGCCCACGAAAACAAGCTGACGGATATAGGAAGGAAAGTGGTTTTGTCAGTGCGATGAGGAAGCATATAGCTAAAACGAATATTGAAAATGAACTCAAGCTGATACGTGAAAGAGAAAGTGACACAGAATTAAAGGACACTTGTGATGCTCTATACTGCACTGAAGGGCATGACGGCGGTCTGCTGCGGTGCATTTAATGCATGTACGTTAACATGCGCTGTCTTAAGGCAGCCCATACATTTGAATCAGCTGCCTAAAAGGGTACCTGCTGCATTTTTTGGGTTCCACTTAATTTAATGGTACTGCAGTGCCCCAACTCACATTCCATGCATTACCGCAGACGTGTGAACGGGCCTTTAAAGGAAATCTGTGTTGAGGAAAATGAGGAGGTTGCCATTGCTGACCACTCCTTCTGAAAATGCTAGCTGCCTGGCTGTCATGCTTATCTAGTTGTTTCAATATTTCCGACCTGATTACTGACCTGGAACAAGCATTGAGGTAAGGAATTCTGAGTTTGCTCAGAATCTAAGGGCCGATTCACATCCGCATTGGAGCTGCGCTGGCTGTTGTTTCCAGCGCAGCCCCAACGCAAGAAAAGGCAATTTGCCATGTCACGGATGGTGTGCATTCACACCACCGCGTTGCAGTAGGAACGTGGTGATGTGCGCTGGAGAAAGTAAGGCATGCCTTACTTATTTCAACACAGTGAGATGCAATGGGGTACAACCGCCTCCCACCCTGCTGTGCCTGTAGAACTGAATTAAATGTCACATTTCAATAAAGTTCAAAAAAACAAAAAAAAGTACACAGTGTGATGCAGTGAGATCTGTGCTTTGGCACTGTACCGGGGCACTGCACACCAGACACTGTGCAATTAGCACAGTGTCAGGTGTGAATGGGCCCATAAAGCGTATATATACCATATACTATGAAATTCATTTATGAAAGTTCCTGCTTGCATGGTGCTGATGAGTATAGGAATTTCCTTTTTTAGTGCTATTGCTCCATACTTTGTGGCTTGCTAATATTTATGGTAAAAATGCAATATTTTAACATTACTGACAAGCTGACAAAAGTTGAGGCCTTCGGTTTTTTTTCTATTTTATTTGTTAAATCTACGCATACATTTTAAGTTCCCAATACAACAATAAGCTATCTTTCCTTTTGCTAACATATTTAATACATGATAAAAAAAAGTTAGACATACTGTGAGACGTTTGTGTTTTTGTTAGTAAACAGTTAGATAAACCACAATACATATAAAGAGCGCCTACTGTTAGAAAACAATATTCCACTACTAACAAACTCTGTAAAAAATATGAAGAAGCTGACCCCCACCTTGAATAGTTGGGGAATACCTCCCAGAACATCATGTCAGTATAAACAAGAAAAAAAAAAAAAAGGACATACAAACTCAGAAGACAGGACTACAACTGGCCATGCACCATACATAAAGAGCGTGGATGGAGGAATCTCCGCCATCGACTATTGTATACTAGCAGCTGATGCCGGCAGCTGTCAGAATACTCCAACAGTAACTGCAACTGATTGGTTACAGTCACTATTAGGCTGACAATTTTCCACCTGGCTCCTTCAACAAAAGTCTTTTGAAAAATTGACTTTAGTTGAGTAGGGCTGGTAGGGTCACCCATGGATCATATTTTGGCCGATTCGTCAAAGTTGGCCAAAATCCAAAATGTGTATGACCAGCTTAAGGTCTAGGCAAAATACACCATACTACTGTAGTGTAAGCAGTATTGCACTCTGAGAACTTGCATTTATGCCCTATTACTGAGTACATTCTGATAAAGTTTTTTTGCAAGTGTACGTAAGGGTAAGGTTTCAAATCGAATGGTTGGCCCCGGCTTAATGAAAACGTTCCATCGTATTCTGCTGTTATGCTGTACGTTTCTCCATCCTCAGAACATATTATTTGTTCTACTTGACTATTGCCTCATCTGGAAGAATCGGCTTAAATTACACATCTTTGCCTCTGTGAGGAAGTGATTTGTCAAATGTTGTGAAGGGGACTTTAGTTTTTTTTTTAAATAAATCAGTTTACATAGTACACAGGTCAAAGGATCCAATCTTATTGTAGGGCCCTCAAGTTCAATAGTCATTTGCAGGATCTTTTCCCAAACACTTTAACCTACCAGCCAGGAACACTGCAAATGGTTATGAACACCGGTATGATCACAGTACCTTCAGTGTCTGGGAGGACCTTTGTTTTATAGTATATTTGATGTCCAAATGCAAGCACAGGCCTACTTAAATGATCAGTACACTGACAGCAGAACTACGGGGACATTTTTTATGAACCCTTGAAGTGTGGCTACCCCCACACTGCAAGGGTTAACTGCTCATTTTGGTCTAGGTAGGAAAATAAGTTAAACTCATCCGATCCTCGGATCTGGCTGGCTCTGACAGTGCTCCCTCCAGCCTGTGTCCTCCTCCCCTGCAGAGATGGTATCTCTCGCGGCATCCTCACACTGTGTGTAGAACGTGATGTCTCAGGGATGAAGGGGAGAGTGTAGTAGATTAATATTATGTAGGAGTGTTTGAACTCTGTAGGAGTTGCTGAACTCTGATAATTGGGTTAAACAACCTGACATTTGCTGATGCGGAGAATATTAGGGATTACTGTCGCCGTGCAGATCTAGTCACTTGTCCTGTTACTGATACTAGATAGAAGATAGAAATAACCAGCACTCAATGATATCATGCAATATGTCCATTTATTGGACAAATCGTCACAGTGAAAAAAGCCAACGTTTCAGGGCAGCACAGGGTCCCTTCATCGGTCACATCTTTTCGCCCTGAGGAAGGGACCCTGTGCTGCCCCGAAACGTTGGCTTTTTTCACTGTGACGATTTGTCCAATAAATGGACATATTGAATGATGTCATTGAGTGCTGGTGATTTCTATCTTGTGTCTGCACGGGGCCATCCGGGGCCATCACTGCGAGCACCATCTTATGTATAGGCCGGGAACGTTGTGAGGAGTGCGGAGGGACTCTCCATCTACCTACATCTGTTACTGATACTGTTATTGATACTGTTACCTGATACTCTTATGCCAATGGCTGTGTAAATTCCAGTGAAGTGAGTGTGGAAGAGAGTCCAAGCCTTAGGAAAAAATATTTGGTTAACAGAGGAGCCCGTTAATGAAAAAGGGGTCTGAGACAGGATTTTCAGTCATAAATAAGGATTATTTTAATCTTTAAAAAATGAATACAGGTAAAACACCTTCAACGTGTTTCATGGATAACACTGGCGACTTCTTCAGGTTGGTGTATATAAACAACAGCTGTGTATATGTGACACATGGTTTCATAGTTTTTGTTTAGTTTGTGTATATGTCAGTTGGATTACCTTCAGTTCATGAAGTACCCACTCTAAGCATTGGTGCTTCAGTGGCATCAAAAGCATGCTGAGCGCAGGGTGAGACTATTTGAGGGACACTGTGCATTCCATTAGACCCCTTTCACAAGGGCAGCCTGATCAGGTCCGCCTATTAGTTTTTCAAGCAGGCATGATCGGATGCCCAATGACGCTGTGCATTACATTAGAACCCTTTCACAAGGGCAGCCCGGTCAGGTCCGCCTATCAGTTTTCAAGCAGGCACGATCGCATGCCCAATGACGCTGTGCATTCCATTAGAACCCTTTCACACGGGCAGCCCAGTCAGGTCCGCCTATCAGTTTTTCAAGCAGGCCCGATCGGATGCCCACTGCTAGTCTATAGGCAGCCGGGTGTAAACGGACAGGAGATACCCGGACTCTGTTGCATCGGGCCTGATTGTGCTGGATCACGGGTAATCTGATGTAAACGGACAAATATCCATTTACATCTGACTCCACATAGACTGACATGGGGTCCCGCAATTTTATTTTTTTCCTCCATCACAATTAAGGCCTGGTCACACCTGGGCGTTTTGTAGCGCGTTCGAACGCTCTGCAAAAGCTCAAACACAGAAATCCCATTGTTTCCTATGGGTATGGTTCACACCTGGGCGTATTTCAGCCCGTCTGAACGCGCTACAAAACGGCCTACGCCCAAAGAAGTACATGTACTTCTTTGGGGCGTTTTGGTCTCGCGTTTCCATTGGGATACAGCCAAGTAGCCCACGGAAATGCGCGAATCGCGGTAAAAACGCGCAATGCAAAACGCACATATTTAATACACCTAGGTGTGAACCCAGCATTAGGAAAACCGGACGGACACAGATGTCACATCGGTGACATCCGATCCGTACTGCTCTGATCAGGAGAGGATCCCTGCACAGATCCCCATGATCCCCTGATCAGCCCGTGTGAAAGGGGTCTTAGAGGGAGGGATTTCCGGGTTCTTGTGCTGCGAAGTACTGCGCATACCTGGATATTCCGGCTGCCTTTTATATAGGGATTCACACATCCGACAGAATACACTCATTCCTTACAATAATATCCAAACTATTAAAGATTCACTGTTCAAATGCATTCATTCATTTAATAACATAATCCGTGTATTACCGTATTTGTTAATTTGCATATCGTGATGGTTTTTGTGATGTCAGTTTCAAAACGATTATGTATACAAAACTATATATCTCCTTATATACATAACCGTTTATACATACCATCTTGAAGAAGTGGCCGTTGTTAGCCACAAAACATGTTGAAGGTGTTTTACCTGTATTCATTTTTTAAAGCAGTCTGTTAGAAAATAACTAACAATACTAATAATGTTTATAGGGTATTATTAATATAGGTATTATGTGTGAATGTGAAGGACGTAAGTGATGATTGATTTTCCATATTTTTATTTGTTCAGTTTAGGAATGTACACAAGCAGACGTATAAAGTCTGATGATTTTGATTATGTCTAGAAAGATGTAATACTATATGTTTAAGATATTTGCTGCACA